ATATAAAATTTTTTTTTTTTTTTTTTTTTTTTTTAAAATTTAGATCTACATTTTTAAGGTTCAAGCTCAATAAACAATTTTACTTTCTATCATGTTAACATCTTTGGTGAATGAAGATGTGTGCAGTCTGGCTAGTAGGCCTATTCGCCAAAAAGGACTTTCAACAATTGTTGCCACCAATTCAACATAAGAGTTCTACTTCTCATAGTGTCGCGATTCAGATTTAAATAATGCATTGACAACGTGGTTTTAAGAAATCCCCACCCCCTTTTTTTTTCCAAATCTCACCCCCCCCCCCACACACACACAAATGGGACAAGGTTATGCGTAACAACTTTTTTTACGCTGTTAGTTAACCGTAACGCCCGGTTAGCTCAGTCGGTAGAGCATCAGACTTTTAATCTGAGGGTCAAGGGTTCAAGTCCCTTATCGGGCGAGTTTTTTTTTTTTAATTTTTTATTTTGTAACATTGTAACATTAAAAATCCTTTTCAGATTCTTTTCTATGAATACATCTTATCTAAGTAAGTCCTAGTGCATGGTTGCCCAACTATTTCTATATTCTGCCCCCTCTACAAATCGTTTGACTAAACAGAACAATCAATTTTAAAAATGCGCAATTGAAAATGGCTACAAGTCTAGGTGTGGCGCTGTTCCAATCAATTGTCTTTTTGGATGGTAGGTTTAAACTCATATTTTTTTATATATATATATTTTTTTTGTACAGTCAGCTAATTATAAGATATTCCATTTCCCGGTACGCATGTATGATGCCAGTGCACGGTGAGCTTGTCTTCGGATCTTAGGGCTTGGGTCTCTGTTGAAGACATCCAGTGCTTCGGCAATTTCGTTTTCTAAATGTACGGGACTGCCGTCACAGAGTGTGTGGAGAACTTGATACCTGCATATTAACAAAATTTATTGAAATGCTTTTTAAAAATTCCGAAACTAAAAACACCCCACCCTTCAACTGTTACATCACTGTGAGATTTGACATGTGATTGGATGTTGTTGTTTTTTTGGTTAAAATATTGATACCAGTGGTTCTCGAACACTTGCTGTCATAAGCCCTTTATGATAAATGATTTTTTTTCTTAATGACATGATTAGCTTGATCCAGCGTTACCTCAGTTTTTTTAACGAATGAGAATTATTGAGGGGGGAGTTTTAATTAACTAAGTTCTTCAGCAGTAATCTGCAAGACTCGAGTGTAGGAATTAATTGTAAAATGTAATTTGAAACACTACTGGGCTCAAAGGACGTACACGTGTCTTTTAAAGCCTTGACTTCAAGTTTCTGTGATCATCATATTATATCATGTAAAATATTAAGAAACAAGCGCTGTCGGAGCTGGTCTCGGAAAGATCAGCATAAAACATATACAGTTGAAAGTTTAAAGAATACATTTGATGAAGGAGTCATCAGATAAAAATGAGAGAAAGTTCATAAAAACATAGATTCCCTTAATGACCATGAAATAGAAATTGGTTAAGTGAAGTTAATTCCGTGGTGATTGGTTTCTTCCAAAACTACTGACAAAGATATAATGAGATAAATTATAGTATTTTTATGTTAACCACCATAAACCTAGTTATATACTGAAGATTTCCGAGATCCCATTCACGATTGGACATTATAACGTCATCACATTAAAACTCAAGATTATATCAAGTTAAATAAAAAACAATTGAATCCTTTGTGGCGGGCTCATAAAAGTCGTGAAGAAGCTGGCCTTGTGTTTATACGCACTAGACTCCTGAAACATGCCAGCAACAAATTCATCCTATCTTTATATAAAATATGCAATTATTACAAGATTTTACCTCATGTAATTCACCAGGACCCCTTTAGACCTTATCCCAGCCCCCTAACGCCCCTCCCCACTAAACTCTAACACGCCTATTTTATTTATAGGCAATCTCACTTAGAGGACAAAATAAAGGGGAAAATGCGTAATATCATATGTGAATAAGGATCGCCCATTTTTCTCTTCTCACCTAACGTTTTCATCAGTGTCTTGCAACATTTCAAATACACGATTCCAGAAAGCTGTGATGTCCTTTTGAACTCGACACGGACACATCTCTCGGAGGGCTCTTTGTCTCACCTGCGGGGAGAGGAGAGAGAAGGCGTCACACACTTAATCACAGGTGATATGAGCTATTTTAAAATATTTAACTTCAGTATTCTGTCCCCTTCTCTGTGCGATGTTAGAACTATAATTGTACATTAAAATTTAAAAATTTATAATGTTTTGATTTCGAAGATTGAAGGATGCTCAAACTATGTTTATCCTTAAAACAGGAGCAGTCATGTGGAACCGGCAACCCCTGCGGCTGCATGGGACCTTGGATATTTAAGGGACCTAAATGTGTCACGTGGAAATTTAAAAAAAAGTAAACCACCAGTTTTGACTGCAGGAGCACAAAACTGAAACGGGGGAGGGATGGGGGTACCAAAAGTCAGAAAATGTAATATGCTATCGTTAAGGACAGCTTTTTTCCCATCAGAATATTAAAACAAGAAGCTGCATCTTCTTTATTCTAATGGTTGGATGAGAACATAAATACTGTTTTCACTCACATGTTTATTTATGCAAATACTGAATTTGTAAATTTAAAAATATTCTTATTAATTTAACTAAATAATCTCATGGCGGACCGGATAAACCAAAAACCGCGGTCCGCATCAGGTCCGCTGGCCGTGATTTCCAGGCTCCTGTTTTAGTATCAACAATTATTAAAGGGGAAAAACTGCGTATAATCTAAATTCATTTTTTTTCAAACGGTTGTCTCTCTTAGCATCATGCGCAACATTAATTATTTTAGCTCACTTCAGCATAATGAATGACAACAACGTACCGGTATCAGTGAGAACCACTACTACTTTGCAACAGCTTATTATTTAAAAAAAATAAGATACGTTAAGATACTTTTAATGATCCAAATAAATGAATTTTGATTACGTTATTTTGATTTCAGCACATGGGTAAATATTCTTATTACCAAGACAACATTTAAAAAAAAAAAAAAAACTATAACAATTTAAACACATGACTTCTGATGTATTTCCAAAAAGTTATATGACGCATCACCATACCCCCCCCCCNAACCTAAAGAATTATTGCTTTATTTATTTTTTTTAACAGCCAGGGAAAAAAATGTTTTATAACTTATATATTTTTAAAAAATTATTATTATTATTATTTGCATTACAACTCTCAACCAGTGATTATTTCAGAAATTTTCTCCGGGGGGGGGGGGCACTTCAGATTTTTCAGGGGGTGGGGTGGCAGTCCCAGCAGTGCCATTTGATTTATTGTTGGACATATTTTTGCTCCGATGGGGCACTCTGGAGGTATAACTGAGTTAGTGAACTTATTGAACCCGATGGATTCTGTACGAGTTTTACCATCTTTGAAGATGCAGTAGGCCCTACTTTTAAATATTTATTATGCTAGTTAATGTCTCCCGATGAATGGTGTGTCGAACTGAAATGTTTTCTTACCTGGGGACTGGAATGCCTGGTCAGGTCGATGATGATGTCAATATCAGTTGTATCTGTGCAGAGTCTGAGTGCGTCATTGGCTCCAAGTTGTGACGGCTTCAAAGTCAACTCATTGTCAAAAAATGTCATTTTTATTTATATATATTATGTATAGGCAATTATTTTTAATGAACACTTTGTTAAATGGTGAATATGCCTATGTCTAGCCCTAGGATTGTACAGTTCAGATTACTCAATCCTGGGTGTACTGCCTCGTTCTTTACGAGCTGTTGAATTGATTAAAAATGCAATATTAGTATGAACATTTTTATTTGATAAACACTTAACTAATAATTGGATAGTTTAAACTTTAAAAGAAGAAAGATTTTTTTAAAAAGAAAATACTAACTGAAATTGAAAGAAAGAAAAAGAAAGAGAGAACAAAAGAAAAGAAAGACAGAAAGAATCAAAATAAAAGTAAGAACGAAAGAAAGAAAGAAATGTGTGGCAATATTAAATTTACACTTGTAGCATTACATCTTACCAAGTGTTACCGCGATTTTCTATCCAAAGAAATCTCCAACGTTATGATTAAAAGTCGTGTGTATATATAGGCTGGCCCCAGAAGGTTGCACAAGGGAATGAAAATCCGGAGGGTATGATTCTATTTTTAACTAACTATTCATACCACAAAAATAAAATCACTGCTACGGTTCCGTACAAAAAAAAGGGGGTTCGTCATTTTAAGAGCCCTACTCTTCAAACAGAAGATCAATATTTTTAAAGGAGTTGTAATAAAAATGTGATAAAACAACGAATTAAATAACGTTCTTTTATTCATTAGTTGAATACATTGATCATACATGTAATAATAGTCGCTGTCACAAGCAGTAGATCCTTTATTAAACAATAAATAAATTAAAAACAGACCGACCAACACACAAACAAGTTTTACAGCTTTGACGTGTCAGCAGTGACTGCCTTGATGTTTCAAAATAGTAGTTACTTAAGTTACATTTGTTGGGCACAGAGCTTTCGCGTGGGCCCTGCTATCCCTGCGACATAAATGGGGCTCTGATATTTAAGGGCTATGATTTGGCATATATAAAACATGTAAAATAAAATCTGCTATCTACTAGCATTTAGCTTTTAATAAAACATTACAGATATTCTCCTCCCCCTTCCCCACTGCCCCCACGTCCTCATTTTACAAACGACCTCGCATAGCTGACGTCATAACCGGTGGCTCTGAGGGCATTCCAAGAAAATGCGTATTACCCGGCATAATAAATGTATGCAGTTAATTATAATAATAATATTTACGTATTAAAGATGCATAAAAGTAAATAAATTTATCCGATTTCTGAAAAAAATAGAACAACAACCATCATTGTTTTTAAGCAATCGAGCGTAACGCATCTACCGACGTTAGCTAATTCTTAAATAACTAATGAAACAGTGGCGGCTGCAATGTAACGCACTCTATAAGATTCACAGCTAGCCGCCCCCCCCCCCCCCCCGGTCTGCCACACCCCTTGATTTACCTTAATATTCCGCGTTTAACCGCAGATTTATTTCACCAACTATTTTCGTACAAAAAAAGGAAAAAAAAAAAGAAGAAATATTACGCACCAAACACACGTGCGGAATTTTAAAATACTTTATTTAGCGCAGGTAGGCCTATCGGGAATTTTATATTTCGAGCTATTGAAACTTAGCGTTAGTGACGGACATTGAATATGTCGCATGCATACAGCATAAGTTTATAGTTACTATGTGTGATAGTTATGTACGGTTAATAAAAGGTAATTTTACGCCCGATAAGGGACTTGAACCCTTGACCCTCAGATTAAAAGTCTGATGCTCTACCGACTGAGCTAACCGGGCTCTTGATGTTCACAATATAGCACCCCATACTATGGATATTTAATATCTATCAATGCACTCGAGCGTCACTTTACCTATTAGCTAAAAACGTTACAAAAATTGATGTGCCATACTTATGACATAATCACAACAATAATCAATGAGTTTGATTAAATATTTTCGACTTTTATCCCTAAGCTATGCTACATTCAATCATTCGCTTTATTATTTATGATTAGGCCTATCTATATAGCCCGGCAAAATTATTTCATGATCATGACTTATGAGTCAACTCATTTCTCGGGTCTAATAAATTCATACACAATGATCAACTGTTCCAGTAGCCTAATGTTTGCAGTCAAAAAAAATGGACTCATTCAAATCGGCGACACATTAAATCAAAATGATGGCGTCGATAACGAAGTTCTCAGCCAATTTTAATTCACAATCTCCAAGCAGTGCCAGAAGTAGAAGTAAGAATGGAATAGTCTGTAACAGTTTCGGAAGCTGGTTAGTTATTAGACATGTTGCCCTATAGCATGGCAGAAACATTCTTATTTGTTAAACATTTATTAAACCAGTAGGTATGGGATCATTACAGTTTTTTTCTCTCTAAAACGTATGGCAATGGCACTGAAGTGAGAAATTGTTGAAATCTTTGAATTCAACTAAACCTTTTGAAAAAAACGTTAGGCCAAGGATCATTAGAAATGTACAAAATAAATGCATATTGGTTTTGTTAGACGTCTTAACATTGCTCCCAAAGAAATGGAATCAGCATCTCTACAACAGGACTGTCTAAACAACATCGGTGGCCCTGGGCAAAGTAATGCACTAAGGACCACCGTTCCTCCCTGTTCAAGTAATGTTATGTAAAGCATTTGAGGGCCAGGTTGGCCAGCGGTATAAGCAATGTTAGTTTCAGCAGATAATTTAATTGTGTTTTTTTTTTTTTTTTTTTTTTTTTTTGGGGGGGGGGAAACTTTTTTTTTTTTGTTAAAATTTTTACCCCCCCCCCCCCCATTTTTTTNGGAATGGGATCCCAAAACGACCATAGTATGATATCATCCAATCTTCATTTGCCCTTTTTTTTTGGAGGGAGGAATCGGGGGTGGGGGGTTTTCTGTATTTTAAAAATAAACAAATACTTAAATTCAAACCTACCACAGACCACAGTTTCATTAAATGTTTTCTGAGATTCAGTCAACATTTACCAAAAAGCCATATCAATTATTCTACTCTTCGAATGTATTCTAGCAATTTGTGATAAGCAGTCAAATAACAAACAAATATAATTTTATGTTTTTACTTGTGGTGTCCCGTGGAATTCCGGGAAGGGTCTAGGCCAGGGGTGCCTTGGCCTTGGCACGACCCCCTAGTTTTAATGGGCAGTAGCCTTGGATGAAAATAAAAAAAGTTGTGTTTTAAGTTTTACATTTATTTGACATTAACTTTCTAAGGGAAAGTACTCCAGACATTCTGGTATTCTGGGAGATTCAGTGACTGGTCAGTTATTGAATAGGGTAATAAGGGGAGAGACTGCAATCAAGTTAGTACAACAAAAAATGAGTAAAACAGAGTATGGTTAAACCTGAAAAAAATAAACGCAACAAGACAGCGAACGTGTCGGCAGAAAGCCTTCGTCAGCGAACAAAACAGCAGGAAAAAAACGGTATAACGTACATATGACGTACATAGGGGAAACTGGAAGCCGCCTCTCTGACAGGTGTACCGAACACCTCCGCAACATCAGACAAGATTTTTTTGTGAAATTGATAACAAATTTTATTTTTTATGAGTTGATGGGGACATATGTGATGTGTTGGGAGTAGATGGGGAGATAACTGACGTTTTTGGAGTTGGTGGGGACATTATTGAACACTTTTCCCTCTCAGTTGGTACGGGCTTGGGACCGTCACAGAAATACCTGTGGCCTGATTAAAAAGTTTTTGACCAACTTGAGGTCAGCAGTGTTTAACGTGTTAGTTCAGTGGTTCTTAACCTGTGGGTTGTGACCTCATCGTGGATCACCTAATGTTATGACAGTGCGTCGCTTGAGACTAAATATTCTCTACTGGGATCGGGCTATTTTCTTACTGTCACTACACTGTGGCTAAATTAAAGCTATATAAAAATATTATTTAGTATTCAAATACTATTATTTTTTTTTTAAATAGAATTAACATCAAGTGGGCCTGTAAGTTTGATGTTTTCTGTGGTTTTATTTTCATTTGTAGAGGTTGCTCCGCTTTGTTTCTGCGTTAACTTTTAAGATGGTAACGTCCCTTGACATGTTGTAACATTTTATTTTATGTCCTAGTCTAGTGTCCTATGACACTAGGTCTGCAAATTATAAAGTAAACATGTGTTGTTGTTTTTTAAATATTTTTCTTAAAAAATTATTGCATTAGTATTTTTTTTAAAATGATTCCGAATTGCTTCAATGTGAAATTTTAACTATAAAAATAAAATACAAGATAAGCATTAAAAAAGTTGTAAGTTTAATTCAGCTAAATTCAACGCACCCCCTCCCACCAAGCCAATTTTTTTTTTTTAAACCCATTTTAAATTTCCCAAGAGCGGGTCTCCACAATTGGGTAAATATTATCACGGCGTCACGCATTTACATGTTGAGAACCACTGTGTTAGAGTTTTAGATGTTGATTAATTCTCTGTTAATGACTGTTTAAGTGGTCGAACCAAGAATATATATATTATTTGGTAGTTATAGATATGTACGGATGTTAAAAGGTGTTAATTTTTCTATATACTATTAAAGCGTGACATTTACTTTTTTTGTTATAGATTGTAACATGGTGGTTAATGTTGATCGATTGTTACAGAGTGGTTAATGTTTATAGATTGTGAGAGGGGTTAAAATTTATAGATTGTTACAGAGTCGATGGTTGGTTAATGTTTATAGATTGTTACAGATTGGTTAATGTTTATAGAATTTACTGAAGGGTTGGGCAATACAATTAAATTCTTTTTAAGCGGTCAGATAATTGACATTAAAAGATTGTTAGAGGAGGGTTAAGTTGCTATAGATAATAATAATAATAATAATTAAAGAATGTGAAGTTAAAATGTTAAAGAGAACAAAATAGTTTTTAGAAAAATTGATATATTACCGTAATGACCCATGCACGAAATTCTCAAATTTAAAGTTAAAAGGATACAAAATCATGGACTACCCCAACCAACTTAGTTACCATTCTTTTTGTACTGTATTGCGGCTTAAAGACCTAACTCATACGATTTAAATGAAATGTTTTGCTCTTTTTTAAAATATCCTATTGCACCCATGGAATGATGGGGTCTACTCACTAAACATTTTAATACATTTATCTAACCAACTTAGTTTTAACCATTTTAAAAAAAAACATTTTGGGCTAAACAACCCATGTCCTTATTTGATAAGGAGATAAAATAATTTGTCAGACTTTTAAACTACTTATTTAATTAACCTGTTTCCTAATAACTACTAACACATCCCCCAAATAAAACGGCACGTAATGACACATCTCTCAGTTAATGAACTTCATTAAAACCTGACGCTCCTTACAACCGATTACGCTATATTAAAAAAATTGAAAATAACCTACTAACAATATTCTCAACCTAGCATGTTTATTAAACAACCTAATCAAAACCTACGATAACATAACCTGGCTTGTCTATAATCCTATAAGTCCTTAACCCTCTCAGCCAGCCAAGCGACCTGTCCCAAGGAGCTCACTAACCTGTAAATATCCCATCGGT